TCAGCACACAACGCCCCTTGGCAAAGTCAGCTCTGTCCTTCTCATACTGGGCACAGCGCTCGGACAGCCCATCCAGCCCTTGGGTGGTTGTCTTGCCATTTGTTCCTGCCAGGGGTACCACACCTTTGTCTACCTTGATGCCCACGACACCGCCCTTGGCTTTGATAACTTGGGGGAAGGGACGCCCATCATCGGCCTTCTGGTAGAGCGTTTCGTGGAAGAGGATGACGCCCCCGATGCAGGGATTCACGCGGTTGTCGGCGGTCAGCAGCAGGTGGCGGTAGAAGCGCCGGTTCTCCTCCGTCTTCTCGGTACCAATGGACTGCAGTCGCTTGGTGATGCTCCCGGTGGACTCACCTGCAGCCAGGATGCCCTTGCCCGGAGCCACAATCCGGTGAGCGATGTCACAGAGCTCCTTCTTCTGCTCCGGGGTGAGTGCTGGGTATTGGTGGGGCATGGTGCCTGTCAGTTCCTGGCACAGGAGAGGGGCGGGCTGGCGGGGCGCAGTGGTGGAGGGCTGGCGGAGTGGACTGAGGGAGCGAACGCAGCACTCGTCACCAAGACTCTGGTTCCATGGCGCGTTCCAAGAGGAACGCAGCCTATTCTACTCCTGAGGTGGGGCGCGGAGGCCTGAAAAATTCTTAAATGTATCTCTGCTTTATTTTGACAATGGTCAAATAAATATTAGCTAAAGATTTAAAAGTAAAAGATATATTTTACATGCATGAAAAACAGGATTTTCTAAGTTTTTAGAGAATTATAAGTGAAATCCTCAGTCACTTTCAAAACTAAGAAAATGCATAAATTGCTGGACAATGATCAAACGAGTTGCATCATATTTTGAAATCATGATTTAAGAATGCCACATTAAATTTTTAAAGTTTTGAAAATTATTTACATATTGAACTATTCAAATTAGGAATGTTTCTTATTTAGAAGAGCATACCAATATAATTATGCTAGCAGATTCTGCTCACTGATTTTCTTTAAAATTTTATGGGAAATGGTGGTGTCTTCATATGTAGCCACTTTCTGAAATAACTTTGCAAAGAAAAATTTTTATAAAATAAGAATTGTTCTGACATATCCTTAAATAAAAATTAATACTTAAAGTTCTTTGCGCAAAGATACAAATTCAGCCCTCTAAGGAAGAGAACCATCTGAGACTCCTAGGATTTCTGGGCATGCACAGGGATTTAAACATATTCTGTGAGCTCTCCTCTACTCAACATTTCATAGCACAGCAATCTGTCTCTTTTTGGTTTTGTGGCAAAAGGGAAAAATGTCTTTCCTGTAACCAAGGTTTGCTAGTTTGATTTTGAAGTCATGAAAACACACATATACACATAAACACATACATATATACCACTAATGAAGAATCCAGATCTTGGGTCCTTTACTTTCTTCATAGGAGATTGGGAAATTTGGTAATTTCTTAAAAATATGTATACTTCCCACCCCCCCCCAGAATGGTTGCATTTTATCTATGGCTCTACTAAAGGCATACTCAAGAAAGAATGAAGAGACAGAGCCAAATAAAAAACAACACCCAGTTTTGGATATGACTGGTGATGGATGTAAAGTACAATGCTGTAAAGAACAATATTACATAGGAAGCTGAAATGTTAGGTCCATGAATCAAGGTAAATTGGAAGTGGTCAAACAGGAGATGGCAAGAGTGAACATCAACAGTTTAGAAATCAGTGAGCTAAAATGGACTGGCATGGGTGAATTTAACTCAGATGACCATTATTTCTACTACTGTGGGCAAGAATACCTTAGATGAAATGGAGTAGTCATATAGTCAACAAAAGAGTTTGAAATGCAGTACTTGGATGCAGGACTCTGTGGGAGAAGGCGAGGGTGGGTTATTTCGAGAGAACAGCATCGAAACATGTATATTATCTAGAGTGAGGCAGATCACCAGCCCAGGCTGGTTGCATGAGACAAATGCTTGGGCCTGGTGCACTGGGAAGACCCAGAGGAATTGGGTGGAGAGGGAGGTGGGAGGGGGGATCAGGATGGGGAATACATGTAAATCCATGGCTAATTCATTTCAATGTATGACAAAAACCACTACAATACTGTAAAGTAATTAGCCTTCAACTAATAAA